TGCTCTGGCTATTGACCCATTATATAACTTAGGGTTGTCTACATAATAATTCCTTCAAAAAACTTATTTTAAATATACTACTTGGGCATGTGGAAGGTTAGGGGAAGGAACATAGTGTTCCCTTTTTTCTGAGTGTAAAATTTCTATTCTTTCCCTTGTTGCTCTTGGCTCAAGCCAAAATTAAGCTTAAATTATGGTCACTAAGAGGAATATCCAGTTTGAGCCCTAATTTTATATTTCCATTTTAGTAATTTCATTATTATATGTTTTAGTGTAAACCATCAAATCCTTTTTGAATGAGGTCTGGTATAAGTTAAAAAACTAAACCATCCGAGTCCTAAAGTTTAACCATCAGCTTGGTAGGGGATCAAGTGACATAGAATTAGTCTAAACACATAGGTCAGCAAACTTTTTCTGTTAGGGCCCAATAAATGTTTTAGGTGTTAAGAGCCATATAGTCGCGGTTGCAACTACTCAACTCTGCCATTGCAGAACAAAGCAGCCAAAGATAGTATGAAAACAAATGTGTGGCTGTGTTCCAATAAAGCTTTGTTTGCAAAACAAGCATTGGGCCAGATTTGGCCAGTGGGCCATAGTTTGCCAACCCCTGGAAAGAAAATCAATGTGGTCTTGCACTTTCTGTATTTCTTCAAAAAAACATTCCACGTAAAACACCCAAGTTACAAAAACAAGAGCAATGCGAAACCATAAGAGTAACCAATTCCGCAGCTTTGACAGCAGTTGGCATTTGTTTTGCATGTGCCTATATAATATGTCTAATTTAGAAGTGCAAAGTATATTCAGAAGTGAACAGAAAACTGCTAAATATGCACTACTCTTCAAGTACACAGAAATAATTCTGATCCAATGATACAACCTACTGAGTCAGAGTCTCAGGGACCACATGCTACTTGGACGTTACAATGAGTTTAAGAACTTTTGGAAAACATTTACTTTCTTTTAGGCTACTATACTATTCCATGTACTAAATCACTGGTTTACTAAATAGTACCTAGATACTAGGAAGGGCAATAATTGCTTGGTGCTTCTATCTTTTCCTTTGGAGAATTATATGCTCTTATAAACACAGGGACATAAGATATATTTTTCCAAAGCAAGGACTGAAGGACCATAAAGTAGATGTTTTACATGCTGCTAAGTTTTGTAGGTTTAAACCTGTAAAGACAATTGTGCTCTTACTGTTTCAAAATCAGCTTAAAGATGAAATGTTTGTAAATACCTATATAGTTAAAACTTAAAATTTTTAAATGTGTTTATTTATTTTTGAGAGAGACAGAGAGAGCACAAATTGGGGAGGGGCAGAGAGAGAGGGAGACAGAGTCTACAGCAGGCTCCAGGCTCTGAGCTGTTAGCACAGAGCCCAACATGGGGCTTGAACGCCTTAACCATGAGATCATGACCTGAGCAGAAGTCAGACACTGAACTGACAGAGCCACCCAGGGGGGGCATAGTTAAAACTTAAGTAGTACAATGGCATTATAGCAAACAGACTTTTGCATTGTTTTATTCCCAAAACTAACTCTAAAGATTGTTATTTTTTGAGCCAACAGTATATCCCTTAGGATGGTGTGCTCCAATGGACTATATATCAGAATCACAAGTGTCTGTTTTTAACATATAAATTTCTAGGCCCCACTCCCAGACTACTGAATAAAAAATATTGCCTGGGCTTTACTTTGTCTCCTCCCAGAACTCTGATGGGGCAGACAAAGTGGTTAAATTCTCACCACATACTAACATGAAGTAATATCATTATTGCATTTAACAGATAAGAGAACTAAAACTCAAAGAACCTAACTTGCTTAAAGTCACATATCCAGGGCCTGTCTTTCCCGATACAGCCACCAACTTCTGTTATGTCACTAGAATGGAATTAACCAGGGAAAAAACATGATGCCCACATTGTAACTTAGAACCTGAGATTGCTTACTTTTCCTTTCAATAAATGTTTACTAAGTAGTAAGGAAACTGAATAAAATATAAAACCCAAATATTACTCTACAAAAACAGATTATACTTAATAGTGGAATGTTGCCTAGGTAAGACCCTTTTATTTTTGCTAATTTTTATCCACTTCTGGCCTTAAAGGTTTAAAAAAGAAAAAAGGAGCGGAGCCCCAGGGACTCCTGGGTGGCTCAGTGGGTTGAGCGTCCGACTTTAGCTCTGGTCATGATCTCGTGGTTTGTTAGTTTGAGCCCCGCATCCGGCTCTGTGCTAACAGCTCAGAGCCTGGAGCCTGCTTCAGATTCTGTCTGTCCGTCTGTCTGTCTGTCTGTCTGTCTCTCTCTCTCTCTCTCTGCCCCTCCCCTGCTCAGCTCTGTCTCACTCTCTTTTAAAAATAAATAAACATCAAAAAAAAAAAAAAAAAAAAAAAAAAGTAGCCCCCGGCTGGAAAGAGGCCACCTGTGCTTCAAAGGATGGCACAGAAAGAGGTCAGCAGAAGTGATTGGGGTCAAATCAGAAGAGGAGAGAAAGGCAGGTAAAATGGATAGGTAGACAGGGGAAAATTTATTTTGTATTTATTTTCCTACAACCAAGAATGTATTTTATAAACATGTCAAATCTGCACCTGGGCACTTAGTAACATTTGTGGTAGTACCTGATTTATTTTGGATGTAATACTTTCAAATTTCAGTTTAGCAAAGAGCAGAAACTGCAATGATGAAGTGAAAGATAGGTGGGGTAGGTCTCCGGATCATTCTGAATTGCCCCCACTCCCCCCAAGATGCTCGGCATGGAGAAAGGAAGTTTAAATGTGCCAGTATAACATCATACTTTCTGCTGCTGTACATATAGGCAAAGAAGCATTAGGGGAATATGTGAAACTAAAGAGAAATGAGTTTTGTAAGAATCAAATCTTTAGAAAATATATTTGTAATGAGTACCCCAACTCAAACATTATCTACAGCTTAAATTTGTGGCCATAGAAAATAAGCTTCAATAAAAAAGTGATTCTGTTTCCTATATGTTAGAAAATCAAGGAAATGTTAGATCATGGTCACAGAACTTTTTTTTTAATTTCTAGGTATTTGATGTTGCTCTCACAGTGAAAACTACAAAATCAAGTGAAAAACCAAAAATCAGTTTTCCATACTCATGAAACTGAGGCCTTATCCAGGAATAATATCTTATTACACCGAGAAGAAGAAACCAAGAAAGAATGAGGAAAAGGATGTTGTAAAAGAGGAGGGAAGGTGGAATAAGAGAGCCAAATCAGTATTTACACTGACAAATTCTGGTGACACCATCTCCTTAGCTTATGCTGGGCCTACCAGCTCCTCTGGCTGCCAGATTTCATTGCCTTCAGGCTGTCTGTCTTTGCACTTTCTTGATATTTGGAAGCCTCAAAGTAATTCTCCCTTTTCTTGTAAAACTGACCCAGACATTAAGGGAGAGAGCAGACATACTCTTTCTAAATTGCAAACGGATGAAATTGAAAATTGAAACTGAACTGAAGTTGAAATGCACAGAGAATCCAGGTCGTCCACATACTCAGTCAGTAGCGGTACCAAGGAGGTCGAGAAACAGGCATTTCACACAACAGTGCTGTGTAATCATGGCTGATGTTTTCACATGGCACATATGTGGTGGTTATACATTCAATCACCTAGGTCAATGATGGGCTAAAATGTTTTATGAAGGTAGAGGGTGCCTGGGTGGCTCAGTCGGTTAAGCATCCGACTCTTGGTTTGGGCTCAGGTCATGATTTTGAGGTTATTGAGTTCGAGCCCCACGCTAACAGTGCAGAGCCAGCTTGGGATTCTCTCTCTCTCTCTGCCCCTCCCCTGCTCACACTCTGTGTGTGTGTGTCTCTCTCTCTCAAAATAAATAAATAAGCTTTTTTTAAAAAATTAACTAAAAGGTTTTTGGGGATGAGAAGGAGGCTATACATTCTATATCTTTCCTTAACATTGATAAATGTTTTTCTGACAAATATCATTTATGGATGTTCCAGAACTTTCGGTTGGTCCTTAACAGAACCAACTGCAATGACGTTTGTAAGATTTGTTTTCAGCACTCTTTGACATTCCAGAGCTTTTACCTTCCTTTTTGTTTTTCTCATTTGCTTCCAGAAGCACAAGGCTCTAGACTTCCATACTACTCACAGTGGGGCAGGGATGAGCAAATGGCATTCCTGAAGACCTGTCCTAACGGCCCATACTCTGTACATTTTTAGGATGTTTCTTTTCACCCAAGTCTATCTTTTGGGGTCCTATCCTTCAAAAGCTTTGCTAGCTAGGTAGCTTATAGCTTTACTACCAATGTGGTAAAAGTGAACCTGGTGAAGGGTAATTGTGGCTAAAGGTCTCCCCAACCTCATTCATTCATTGGCATAAGTTTGCACTTTAAAGAGCAAGGTGGAGTGTGTCTGTCACGTGGTTAGTTGCTCAGGAATCGCTAGTTGTTATTCTCATTGCCCTTTTTGACCCTCATCATCTGCTCAACTTTCTTTTCAAATACCTTGTTTAAAAACTTGTCTTTTATTTCTCATTTCAAATGATAGAAATAAAAGTACTTGACTAGTAATAGTGTCTGTGATGAATATCCATACTTTTTCCCCATTTTAGAGCCAATCTGTGAATCACATTTAAGCCGGCTTCTCAAAACAATTTCCAGCACATTCTACTTGCAGTCAGATGAAGTGGCAATTTTCTTAAAATATGGAGCAGTTTGGTGCTGGGCAGAACATGTATTCAGGCTCATAAACATAAACATTTTTTATGTAGCATTTAAATATGAACTATGCAACTCCAAAATGCTACAAAAATATAAACAAAGTAATTTCAGGAATAAAGAAATAGAGCTAAAGAAAAATTGAGAGGAAGTAAAAAAGGAGCCAAATTTTCTTTGATGCAAGAAAGTGGATCATGGGTAAAATTTTGTTTTTATAAATTTCTTTAGGGGGAGATAGTAGCACATTCTAAAAATTGTTTAGCATTGTATGTCAAGCAGCTATGGCGTTTACTTCTTATTCTGACCTTTTTCTAGCAGCCCCGGCCCAAGACCAGCACCAAGCCTTTCTTCAGCGATGACGACCGAGTAGCGATGCTGAGTGAGGACGTGCTGATGGAGCTGAAACTCCATTTTGCTGTAGGAAGGAGGCCTGTAGAGGACGGCCCTTCTGTCATGGCTCCCAAAGTGTATCTTTATCGATTTCTCAATCTAAAAAAAAAAAAAAGAAGAAGAAGAAAAAGAAAGAAAGGAGGCATAAAAATTCAAGAGGAAAAAGTAGCACACTTTGCCTTGAAGGACATCATTAATGCAAATCAAGGGCCATTCAGAAAGTTACCCTTCAAGTTGTTCTCTGGAAATGAAAGACAAATTCTCTGAAAGGCTGGCAAGGGCAAAAGTGACCTCATAGGCAAGAACCGAAGGTGAATTGAATTTTTCTCTCTATTACAGAGAGATGAAAATTTTAGGCCATTAAAATATAGAGGTCCTGGAGGAATACTGTTGCATAGAAATACAGAACTCAACTCTAGCTGAAAATATAAATTAATAGCAATGCCTTTCATCTGCATTGTGCTTGTATAAAATACTTCCAGCTGCATTATCTTCTAACAGTGCTTTTTAAGTAAACATGGGAGAGGAAACAGACTCCGAGAGGATGGATTTTGTGCTGGAAGGACACGGTTAGGAACGGGGAGAGCTGAGAAGCAATTTCAGAGCCCTCTGGAGATACACAGTGCTGCTTCTCCTCTCAATCAGAACACAGCAAAATTGGAATGCATCTCAGGGTGGCAGGGTGGGTCTCTGCCCAAGATCTAGAGCATCATAATTTCAGGTTCTTCCTTCCACAGTTTATTGATCGCCCACATAAATATTCCTCTTTCTCACGACAGTGTTTGAAATTCCATTAACAAAAGGGAATTTTCCAATTGACAAAGTAGAAAGAATGCTGATATTTGAGTTCATGATAAGGTGTAATTGTAGACATTGGACATTTTCCTGAAAACCTGAGATTAAAACTGGATAAAGTAGACATTTTCTTGTTACCGGAAGGAGCAGTGAGATTGGATGGGGTTTGAGCAAAACCTGGGAGAGACTGAAGAAGAGGAGACGAAGGAATTGGAGAAGGAAGATGAGGGAGAAGAGATAAAAACAAAATTGGGAATCCAAACTACGTTTAGCGACACCTCTGAGTCGAACTGTCCGCTTTATGGATCTAAAAGTACGTACCACATGCCTCTTCACTACTTAAAGTTCTTTATTATTTCCCATTAATGATAGAATCAACTCCAAATCTTCATCAAGGAACACAAGGTCATTCAAACTTAAGCCCTGTCTTTCTTCTCTGTTCATATCACACTCTTAATTATTTCCATTCCTGATCCCACCCTGTTCCTTCATACACATACCTGTGTCTTCTACTTAAATTCCTTTTTCTCTCTCCATTTGTCCATCTGGCTAACTCTGAATCAAACATCACCTCTTTTGGAAAGTTTTCATTGAAATACACCCTTTTATTAGCACTTAGGAAAGGAAATGTGCATCTCTCCCTGATGTGAGCTCATTACAGGCAGTATGCATGTACACACAGGACGTGTTTAATAAATGAAGATATCTATGAAATTAATGAGCCATAGTGGCCTATCAAGATCTTTGAAGATATGTATGAAGATACATATGGAAAGAAAGAGGAAACAGATTTAGGTTGTAAACTCTCCGAGGGCAGGAACTATATCCTATTTTTCACTGCATACGAATTATCTCCACCTGTAAATGGATTGACAAAGCACGATGACGTGCAGAAAAACACAAACTCTGGAGAGACTGCTGGGTTTGAATCCCCTGGTTCTGCCAGAACTATTTGTGTGACCTTGGACAATACCTTCCTCCTAAGGGCGCTGTGAGAACTAAAGGGTTAATGTTTGTGACTGGCTTAGAACTGTGCATGGTATACTATACACATAGAAAGACCATCTATGTGTTTTTTAAATAATAATATAAAAAACAAAGAATCAGAAAAACTTTCTGAATCTGAGCTCTGCCTGGCACATAGTAACATAAGCTTTGAATACTTGTGTAGTGGATTTAATAGAAAGGAACAGAAACTAGCTAAGCACACCTCCCCTGCATGGTACTTTGGGCAAACATGATTGATTAGATACTTTCCCTTGTTAAAGGATATTGTGTTTTCTTGATAATGAAACTATTTAAACTCAAAAATTTAGCTGCCTATTGGGACACGATTCCCCAGCCAATATCATTGTTTGTCATGGTAAACTTATTAGAAGGAGTCTTTGAAGCCAAAAACAGTTGAGCCTTTGTCCACAGGAGTTAGAAGGAACCAGTATCCCACAGGAGGCCAAAATAAACAAACATGCATCTAGGTGCAAGGGGAAGACAGATGCTTCCAAATATATCGTTGTCACTCAAGCAGAATGCAGAGTGCCCAGAATTCCCTTCTCACATTATTTTCTTTCGTAATCACAGGATGCTCCTCTCTATTACAGCTGGCTCAAGTAGAGCAGTGATTTCACATGAGGTGAGTGTATTTTCAAACTTGACGTTATTATTATTTTGAAAGATACACCCCTCCCTTCCCCCACCCCCCCCCCCGACCAGGATCAGTTTAAGCCACAGCCATGTGGCTCTTGCCAGTATATCTTACAAAAATATATTTTAAATAAAGTATAATAAGTGGCCATATTCTATAATAACCTTTATAGCATAGACTGACATTTTCGCTCACATCTCAGACTACAGAGAATAATAGGAAGCGAGCTTGTCAGTCAAATTATGTTGTATTACCCTGTAATACAAACTGCTCCTGTCCTTGTCATATTTATAACAGACTGTATCAGCAAAATGGCCCAATACCAAGGGGCAAGAACGCTTTTAGCTGGTCCAATGACAGGTGCACACACTGCATATGCGAAATAAAAACTACGTGAACAATTATGTCAACCACACCAGCAAATGCAGGATTATCAAATGCCAAGAGAAGCACTTTGGGAACTGAGAGCTCTTGATTACTCCTACAATTCTGAAGATATATTTTTAGTGAAAGAATTTAACCTAGCCACCACTACCGCAACTAAACTTGAGACTCGCAGGACTTCTGAGAAGACTTAGGAAAGAATGAATGTTACTGGATGTTGACACTCTGAGCTCCCAAGTCACTTCCCCCTCTCCCTTCTGGAAAGATCTGAAAAACTGTCCCTCAGAAATCACTTTGCCAGACTACGTGAAAGTTATTTTAAAACTAAACACTTATTATTTTTATTGGAAAAACTTCAACATCTGAAACTTTTATACCACCTTAAATAAAGCAAAGGACAGAGTGTTGTAATAAACGACCTGGAGTGTTAGATGCAGCAATGTGGAGGATGAACAGGAGAGGAGTGGGGATCAGAAATCTGGATTTAAATTCAGAGTCCACCTTGCTTCATCCACTGGGGAGAGTTGTTTTATCTCTCTACATCAGAGTTTTCTCATACGTATAGTTGAAATAACAAATCCTACCTCATGAAGTTGTAGGAGGAATTAAATGAATTTGGTATCTAAAGGTATCCAACACAGTGTCCCATTAATAAACGATGTTAACTATATATGATTAAACTGAGTAGTATTATATTTTAATTCTGCTTTTCCACTAAGAACTCTTTCTTTTCTCAATGAGAGAGAGAGAGACACACACACACAGAGAGAGAGAGAGAGAGAGAAGCAAAGGGAGAGAGAGAGAGAGAATCCACACTCAGTTGCAGAGCCCAATGCAGGGCTTGATCCCACAACCCTGGGATCATGACCTGAGCTGAAATCAAGAGCCAGACACTTAACCAATTGAACCACACAGGCACCCCTCCCTTAAGAATTCTATCAGCTTTTCAATTAATATAGTTTTGTCTCTGTCATAAAAACCATTTCTGCAATAAGCTATATGCATCCATATATCTTGATGTATGTTTTTCTCTATATGACTCATCACCTTTTAATGTAAAAATAGATCTTATTTACTTACTGTGTTTATTGTCTGTCTCCCCAAACCATAAAAAGAGGTAAATAAAAGCATATATTTTTTCTATTTTGTTGACTTTTGTTTCCCCTACCTAAGAATACCACTGGGCACATAATGGGCACATAATAAATATTCTTTGAATGAATGAATACAAACATCTTTTTCTTCAATGTGTAAAAGTCTGGGTTATAAATACTACCATGGAAGATTGGGAATACAAAAGTGGTAAACATTTGTATTAAGAAATTTATTTCAGCAGAATTTCAAATAGGAGCAAGAATGACAAAAATAGAATTAAATGTTTGAGCAAAGTAATGAATTTGCAGCAAAAAAAAATCAAATAAAGAGCTGTATTATTAAAGTACCATGTTTCTCAGTTACTTATAGTATTAAAAAATCTTCACCAGGACTTAACACAAAAAGCAAGAAATGCAGCTCTTTAAAATATAGAAGGGATGAAAAATAAAACTTGTTTTTTTCCACATGACAGAGTTTTTTTCTAGATTTATTAAAGTAGCCATGTATTTATGACACCTTTTGATGCTCTAATACAAATCATATAGTAGACCTTGGATGTATGTTATATATAACTAAAAGTAAAATTGCCTTGCTGGTCTCGATCTTTGACATTTTAGAAATATTGCGGAATCTATCATAGTGAATTATGCTTTAATTTTTCCACTATAAGAATAAAATAGGGATTTTTTTTACTCATTGGTGAAATTTACACTTATTTTAGAGAATTCAAGAGATAAAACTGAGTTTCTTGGATGCAGGTCCTCTACATTTTCTGCTTAGAAATTATTTATAATTGCAGGACAGTGTAGGAACCACAGGTTTCCCGGATATGCAAACAGAGCCTCACGAGAAATTTCCTCCATAAAAGAACGTTTAGTTAAGTCTGCCTTTATCTCACAACTGATTCAACTGAATCTCAAGCCCATCATGGAGTAAACACACAATTCTCAGACCTACTCCATGACACTGAGGGCCTTCTGACTACACTGGCAAACTGTGCCTTGGGGCTACTGACTATCCCAAGAACATCCAGTGAAAAGCAAGTTTGCTCATCTGTGCCTCTATGTAAGTTTTAAACAATGACAGAGAAACAAAAGCAATAAGGCTTCAATATAAAAAAGGTGTATCCTCAATATAGCTTTGGTAAAATGGCACCTACTTAAACAGCTATTCCCAAAACCCA